CCCCCCCCCCCAAACATATTTAAAGCCTAAATTTAATTATTTTTTTATCAATAATAGCAGGGCATTTAGGACACTTAAACATATTAGAAATAAGTTTCGACATACCGTCTTTGGTTTTAAAAGAATACTCAATAAAGAAATTGTCACATCTACCGTCTTTCGCCTCATCTACTTTTGTAGTTGAAAATCTGTTTTTACGGCCTTTGAACAGATCTATTCTCTTCATTTTCCCTCTTTCTGTTTTATTTTGTAACCAAGTTGTACCCCTTTTTCCTTTTCGTCGTCACAGGTTCGTAATAAGAATCACATATTATGCTGGGCATGCCAGAATTATTATTGTTACCTTTGTAGAAAGATGTCCGGTTTGAGCCGAGGGTCTATCGAAAACAGCCTCTCAGTGCAGGTAGGGGTAAGGCTGCGTATTTATTACCCTCCCCAGACCCTACTTATGGGATTACACTAAGTATGTTGTTGGTGTTGTACTTTTGTAGAAAGATAGTGAAGTGAAGCTCCCAGCATTATGGACCTAAGGGCTGCAAACAACACACTGCTGAATAATTGGAAAGAACGTTTCAATTCAAGGGGATCTTCCCGAAATCTTTATTGTTCTTGTTCATTGAAGTCCATGTTCCTCGTACATTCTTATGCCAAAGGTTGATGTTTAGGATCCTAGCTTGTCGCCTGAGGAAGGTCGTCTCGTGTGATATATTACATATTCAAAGCTATTGTAAGTACAAATTGTAGTAGCGTACACATGATTTTGTGCAAGTGAGTTCATCCAAAAACTGAGGCAGAATTAGCCATCTTGACAGCAGGAACGATTCCGGCACAAGCAGATTTTAACCACAGTTGTTTTTCCTTCCCAAAGGTAAAAGAGTGTTGTTGAGAGTACTTATAGTTGCATAAGTTTTATCATATTCTTTTTTTCCTTCATATGACTGTCAAAATTGGCTTTACAGAAATTTAACCATTTCTGTGTGCATACTTGTTGTAGAATGTGGATAGAGACGGAGTGATAAAATAACTGAACCTTAATATATTTTTCACTGAGATTTAATAAGTTATTTTATCATTTATTTGTTTTTAAAAAAATTTCATTAAATTGGATAGTTGTTAATTTGCTTACCTAGCGGGTTGGGTTAGGTGTCATCACGACTAGTTGAATTTTGGGTCGTGACAAGGAATTAGGGGTTGGGTTAAAAGATGGTTGGATTTTATCGGATTAGACATGGTTAATTATACATAACGAGGGTTAAAAGAAATGTAGGATCAAGTAAAGAAGAACCAATAATATAAAGACATGTGGCAAAGGTGGGGTCGTAGCTATCACCGAAGGACTCATCTTCTCCTGTGTGATTTATATGGCATTTTCACAGCAGTTGTAAGTGGATACAATAGCGTACGCAGAATTTTGTGCAAGTTCATTTAGCCAAAACTTGAGGCATAGTAAGGGCGACGCCGGCAGAACCATCAGATTTTAACCACTGATTTTTTTTCAAGAGATAAGAGTTTTGCTGAGTTTAAAATTATCTTTGGGGTAGGTTCATATAATTCAGTGTCACAAGTTACCATTATTCTTTTTTACTTTTTGTGGCTGTCTTGAAGCAATAGTAAAGTTGTATCCGTATGACCTATACCCCAAAATCAATCACTAATGTTTATATTTAGGTAAACTGTGTACATCACACCCCTTGGGGTGTGTCCCTTCTCAGNATTTTACATTCTTTTTTACTAGCACGAATGTTATTTTGAATTATAATTAACCAATTTGCATATGTCTCAACAAAATGATATTACTTAAATTTGTCAAATTTTATGTGATACAATTTTCATATGAGGTAGAGCGAGCGAATTTTTTTTTTTTTTTTTTTTTTTTTGTGGTCATCAATTTAATGTCCGAGAGAAATATCTTCAATGCTGTGTTGCATACTTATCGGATGGAGAGGGATATGTTTATTTATGTGAACTTTTAAGTGACAAATTGATAACATCCGAATTGAAATATGTGAACATGGTTTATTTGCTATTGGACCAATGGAGCTTCTTCATTTAGAAATTGCTTACCAGTTGTGATTTAACTTTTATGTTTGAACGTCTAAATGAACAAATTTTAAAATAAAAAGTGGACGTGTTTGATAAAAAATAGATCAATTACAACGATACAGTATAATTTCACAAGTGTGTCTGAGGATGGTAGTGTATACACAGACCTTACCCTACCCCGATGGAATAGAGATGTTATTTTCGATAGATTCTCGGCTCAGGAATGATAAAAAATAGACCAATTCTACTATTTGCAACAAAGATAAATTGTAACTAACAATGAATTTAATTATAAGAAGACTAGGGATGTGAATATAGTTTTGTTTGTAACGAGTCTCATTTGTTTTACTACAACAGTCCTCCATTATTGTGTCTGATTTTGATAGTATGAACAAAACTTTATAATACTATTACTAGTATTTGGGTACGCTCGTATCTCGAGTTCATTATTCAAATAGTCACGTTCCGTCTTGGAAATTACATAGTAACATCGTGCTTCTTTTGTTTATAAATGAAAAGTCATTTAACTATGCATATTGTACTTAAAAAATCACTCAATTAGATTTCTTAAATTTTTTATGGTCAATTACTACCCTCTAAATTATTAGGTGTTAAATAAGTTATATATAGTCAATTTGTAAAAGAATTAAAATTGGCTTCTTTTATTAGATAATTCGAACACTAAGTTGTTAGTAGTTCTCAACATAAGGGAGCCCACAAATTGAATGCATCTGGTGCGTCTCATGTGTATGTTACACTAGCCTTAACTTTAGTAGAAGTGCATAAGTTGCACCCCGCCCGCTATTTTTGATTGTCTTGATCGGAAAATTGAGATTTTTTGAGCGGGTTGTCTCCTCTCTAATGATGAACAAGTAATGAGAGGAAAGCCTTGATCTTCCCTTGCTCTACCCTTCGAACTCGCAAATTAAAGAAGATTACTCTATGCAGCGGTACCTTCATTTCGATTCCGCTCAGTATGTTTTGAGTTAATTTGGTTAAATTTAACATGTTTTTCATGGATTATATAGAAAAATTATACTTCTTCTATATATCGATAAAACAAAAAAATATTTTCGATAAAGTTCACACTTATTTTTAATTAAAAACTAATTTATATGGGATATGTGTTGCCTCCCACCAGCAACAAGTACCATGTAACTCTATGGATAGACGAGAAGAAACCACCTAATATTTTTAACCTCTGCTAGGATTTGAACACGAGATCTTATGATTCTCAACCACTTTATTGACTACGAGAGGTGGTTATGTAGCAATATGTCCTTCTTAGTTCGTTCCAAAGGAATGATATTTTTCAAAATTTAAAATAACTTTAACTTTTAAATTTTTTTATTGTACCTTTAATAAAAAACTTTTATAGTTATGTTATATTGTTATAGCATCACAAATTTTAAACCATACAACAAATATTATGATATATTTCTATTTTTCTTTTAACTCAACATAAACATTTGAACCGCTCATGTAGAAAATACTTATCATCCCCGCCCCCACCCCCCTTGCCAGCGAAATATATTGGAAATCTCAACGTTACAGAATTTGGGAAAGAGGTTTCTAGGGTTAGGGTTAAGAAGACACTCTCTCTCGCATTTTCAGCAGCTTCCGATTCCGATTGCAGATGGCACCTCCAGAGATTGATGGCCGAGGGAAAAAAAAGTTGGAAGAGGAGAGCAGTAATGGAGTAGGTTCAAATGTCGCTGATTCCGATTCTGATTCTGATCACGATTATGGTATGTATGTCGATGGTCGCAGTATGTCCCGGAAACTTCGGGAGGAATATAATCGGCAGGTGGATGAGAGCGAGGTGCGTACCCTGCCCTCCTTTCATACTTATACCTGTAGTTCTCGTTCCAATTCATTGACTACTAGACCACACCAATGCTTTTTCTACTTGTCTTTTTTTTTTTTTTTTTTTTTTTTTTTTTTTTTTTTT